GCCCCAGCCCGCGGGAGGGAGGTGCGGGCAGCCGCCTCCAGCGGGGCAGCATCGTGCCCCTGTGCGGGACCCCGCGGCCCGTCGAAGTGACCCGGGTCTAGGGAGCCCCTCGCGGCTTTCGGCTCCCGACCGCCCTTCCCTAAGCGAGGTTAATAAGGAGGAATGTGCCGCAGTTCAATTAATACTTAGTATTTTCAGACTTACTCGCAGCCGTCTAGACAGCTTCCTGATTAAGAGTGGTCCATAGGACCCGGGTAATGTTTTGGCCACTGTTCCCGTAATGTAATTACGTTCGTATGATCTCCAAGTGAAAGGATGCAAATAAGGTTGTCTTGCACATCTGGTAGAAAACACAAAGCTCGTTACTATTTAAGCCAGAAGCAGCTCACCAGACTTAAAATCTCTGAGACAGAAGGAATGGCAGAGAAGAATAAAATATCAGTTATAAGTGAAACTCTGTTGAACTGAAAGTAAGGGGATAATCTCGGCTGAATTTACTGCGGAGACAATAGGGCCGGATCCTGGCACTTGGACGGAAAACCACGGGAAGCAGGAGGAGCCCTGCCTGAGGGGCTGTGGGACTTGGCCTGTTTGTGCCCTGAAGTTACCAAATGTGTGTGTACCCCCTGGCCTTTAGTTTTACTGTACTGCTCTGTCTACTAGAGTTAATACTTGATTTAACATGGGGTTTAGCTTTGCTGGAACATTTTTGGAGTATGTCGGGCTTCACTTGAACAGCATTAGCATCTCTGATGAAATAACGAAGGTGCTTTGTTATGTTTTCTTGTCTCAGAAAATGCTGAAGTGCCATAGTAAAAACCATCACTTCAGAAGTTCACGTGTGCCCTTATTTCTGATCTCATAGCCCCAGCTCAGCATTTGGGATGATTCCCATTTGGGATGAACCATAGATGGTATTGAAGAAATTGCAGGAAGGTGCCGAGTATCCTCTTAATAACATGGGTCTTGGGCGCGCTGAGCACTTTACAGGATTGGACCTTCTAGGATTCAATTTCCGTGGGAGGAGTGAGCCGTGGCATGAGGTGGGGGCTGTGGTGCCGGGGGAGCGGACCCGGGAGCAGGCAGGAGGGGACATCTTCCTCAGGCTCCCCGCTCTTGCCCTGTGCTCTCTGCTGGAGGACTCTCTGGGGGCTTGTGGGGGGTGAAGCGCCGGACTTGGGAGGAGCTGCTGAAGCCGAAATCTGTGAAATGGAAAGCCTGTGTGGCGCAGACCTGCCAGCTCTCACATTCTTGGCTGATAAAGCACCGCATTCGTCTCCATAAACCCACTGGAGGAATGATGCCTGTGTAGCTTTTGACAGTGATGAGTTGCTGGTGTGCTGGGGCTGCCTCGCTGCGGCGCAATGAGCTCGTCTCCCCTCCCTCTGTCAAACGGCGAGCTGGTTTGGGCAGGAACCCTCCCTTTTGGTTTGGTTTGCATCTTACCTTGTAAAATTGCAAAGTGGTGGGTTTAGGCACCAGGACAACACAAAAATAGCATTGTTCTTAGTAATAGTCATGATGAGTTTTTGTCCTCCCGGTGAAGAAACGTCTGGCTTTCCTAAGCAGCACATGCCAGACTTGCACCCAACTGTTTTTTTTACGGGCATACCTGGTAGCGTGTGCAAAGCGGGTTTGTGAGCATAGCTTGGGATTGCAATCAGAGGTGAAGATGCAAGGTTTAGGTAGGAGCTTGACAAGCTGGATTCAGAGTAAAGTTAACCCCACGCTGAAAGGGTTCGGTCACTAAGTCACTGATGGCCCCGTGATGTGCACTGAGCCTTGTTGTTAGTATCCCTAATGCAGAGAACTCCCATCTCCAAGCTAGCTCCCAAAACCCAATGTTATTTTGCACACGTAGTTGAAGATGCAGTTTTGCACATGTACATTTGTACAGAAGCAGTTCAGTGATTTTCTGTAGATGCTGCCTTTGGTTCTGACTTCTGCTGGAGAATACGTGTGCTGGAAGAGATGTCCTGCAACGGCAATTTCGATAGAAAACATACTTCTCCTAAAAATAAAGTTTATGGAATTCCTGACATATTTTCCACTTGGCAATTTGCATTAATTCATAAAGGTAAATACACTTATCACTTCAACAAAAAAAACCCACCTTTGATGACTCTTGCAGGCAAAATGAGTGGAATGTGATATGGATGGAAAATACTCTTATCTGCAGGAAACAACCATTGCCCCACGGATAAAATCAGTAATGCTGACTATGTTGTTGTTTCAGGAGGACAAAAAATGTTTCATATGTGACTCCGAGGATCCCTTCCATGATACTCTCAATCCTGACAGTCATCGCATTGAAAACGTCGTCACCACATTCGCTCCAAATCGCCTGAAGCTCTGGTGGCAGTCAGAAAATGGTAGGGAGCCATTTCCAGGGCTGGGAGCTGCTTTCCCTCCTTTTGTTTAAGGGTACCTGGGGTTTTGCTGTTGTCTCTGGCCTGGTGATTACTGCCCTGTGAAGGATCATGCTGATCATGCTGTTCGAGGAGGGCTGAGTAAAACTGGCTGCTTTTGTGTGCCCTGGAGCAGTCCTTAATCCATAAGGAAACCCCCTCCACCCTCCAGGAGCCTTGGAAAGAGCTGTCCCACCACTTTGCAAGAATCCTTTCCTAAAGAGAAAAGTTTCCCACACTGGTTCCAGATCTCCCTCATGTTTGGGCAGCGGGAGCGGAGCAGCCTTCCAGGAGTAAATATCCCGGGGCGGCGCTGCCAAGGAAGCACCGCAGGGCTTCCCCACGCCGCTGGGCTGGGCTGGAGGGGGGCTGCGGAAGGAGGTCTGGGCTGCCGTCCTGCCTCCAGACCTCCCGTTTCCCTGTCCTACCCCGGGAGAGCAAAACCAGGGATATCTCTTACCCTGCAGACTGCCTTCTCCCTCCTGGGCTCCCTGAATTCCTGTATCCATATGCCAAACAGTACAATGAACACCAGAAACAAGCCAGCTACTTAAAAAAACAATTTACATGTTAGTTTGGTGGTGCTTTTTTTTTAAATTCTTCCTCTGTCCTTTTTACTTTTATGGTTATGCTTTTGGCCTGCCTTCATACACAAAACAAGGCATCGAGGTTTCTCAAACAGCAGTCCTACCCTGAAGCCTTAAAGCCGGCAGGACAGGATGGGATTTCTGCAAATGCATTGGCAGTAGCTGTCTTACTGCATAGGAAAATAAAACGGTAATATTTGTAACATTTCTGCTGCCCGGTAAAGAAAGGTTTTCACTAAATCCTTTAACCATTTAGATCAGCCTAGCAAGCCGCTTGTCTCCAGCGGCTCTCTTCTAGCATTCCAAGTAATTCATGTTTTTTGCAACAGGCTTGGCAGCAGTCACACAGAAAAGTTCTTAGCTCATAAGGTCATGAAAATGTCCTTCAACAATAAAAAACAAATGATTCTTTCTGTCCAATTCATGTTTTCTTCTATTCAGGCATACAGCAGAAGGGACCATTGCTGCATGCTCCACATAATGTTACAGCTGGTCGAAAATTTAAGTGCTTTATTGGTTTATTAGTTCCATTTCTTACCCTTTCTCCTCTCTGTAAATCTTGATTTTTTTTTTTTTTTATTTCTAACTACATTATAATTAGTATCCAGCTGTTTTGAGAGGTCTTTTCACGTGACAAAACAATATTTTTAACTGTTTTTCTTCCTTTCTGTGTAGAGTCCTTGACTGTAGGTTAGTTGTACAGCAGAGTTTGGAAAACTTTTTGGTTCTCACCAGTTTCCTAGCCCTCATGATGGCAAAGCAGGGCTGTGATAGTTGCTTTAGGGTTATTTAAGAACCAGATTGTAAAGGAACTTTTCCTGCGTCCAGATGGACAGGAGAGTCCAGAGCGAGTGAAGAAAAGTGGGAAACAGCCCCCGCCAGCCCTCGGTGAGATCTGGGGTGTTAGGGCTGCAGAAGCTCACACCTCTGTTGCTGCCAGGCAGGCTGCAGTGTGTGAGGACAGCCTGGGGTCACCACGCAGGTCTGGGCTCAGCATCCCCAGTTGTACCAGCCACTGGTGCATCTGGTGATGTTAGCCGTGTCACACAGTCTGAAATAACGGCAGTGCAGGCTCGTGCTTTGGGTATAGCGTGTTTGGTGCAGGTGATGCACAGCAGTCCCATGTGCAGTGCGCTCTTCAGCAGGTCTTTGGTGTCCCCCCGTACCTCAGTAATGCACTACTCCTCATATCCCTTCTTGACAACAGAGCCAAGTGGCAAAGAAAAGAGTCTCTGCGCCACTGGAGCCAAGACCTTTGGCAAAATCCAGATGTAGAGGCTGGTGGGTGTCCTTGTTTGCTGCACGGCTTCTTTTCTCTGCCCCTGCAGGTTTGGAAAATGTGACTATCCAGCTGAACCTGGAGGCTGAGTTTCATTTCACTCATCTCATTATGACCTTCAAGGTAAGGAAGCCACAGCCTTACTCCAAACCCTAACACACGAGGAAATGTAGTCCTTCACGTCTGTTTGATATTTGGAATTTGGGCTTTGTCTGAGGTGTTTTGCCTGATTTTTCAGAGCTGCTGAAGTCGCGCAGGAAGGCCGAGTTGTGACTTGTGGCTTGAGTTGTGTGGCCTCCGGTGAGGCTGCAGAAGGAGTCACACTGAAGCTGGGATTTGTGTTCATGTTTCTCTCTGGTGGTTGTGTTCCAGAAGATCATTAGCTAAATTGTGTAGTAGCAAGGATTTTTCTTCCTAAAAAAAAAATTGGCCATGGTATCGGTTTTCATTTGGCAAATAGAAAGGTCTTCAGGAAGAAGGAACATCTGTACACAAAGTGTCTTTGTTTCCTTACAAACAGATGTCTTGGAATGGCAGATTATGTCTCGTACATCCTAAATCGCACGCAAGCGCTAGCGGCAACCTTCAGCTGAGGTTTCAGGGCTGCAGTTCCCGCAGGGCTAAATCCCTGCTCGTTGCGTGTAGGCAAATTGATCTCTTCATTTTTACCCTGGTTCCTCTTTCCTGTGGCGCCAACTTGGGTTTCTCCCCCTGCTTTAAGGTGGTGGCTGAGGTAGAAGGTGGTCCTTTCTGCTGGACCCCAGCAGCGAAGGACCCCCAAGAGCCCCCTGACCTGATGCGGGTCCTGCGGCCATCACGCCCTGGTGCCACTGGTCTTGATCTGCCATCAGGAGGGAGACTGCGGGGGGGAGAGATAGTTTTAATGATGATTTGTTGACTTTGTGTGGTAGATGCTTGAGCTGCCTTACCTTGGGGTTGCTACATTTTTTGTTGGGTGAGATACTGGTTTGTAAGTTGGGTGATATTTCCAGCTGGGAAGCAGAAAGAAAATTTCTTTCCTGCTGTGACTGAACGCTTTTGTGCTTGGCTCTGGGAGGGCCTCTTCTGGATACGTAAAACTAATGAAGAGACTGTTGGCATTTCTTGGTGGGTGCAAGCCAGGTGTTGAATTAATATCTGCTTTTTGAAAGGCAGTGCATAAATTGAAACATGAGATATTTAGGTCAGAGGGATTAAAAATCTTTTAAAAATCTCGTTAGCTAGTTGTTCTAGAGTTGAATACGTGTGAGTGAGAAGGACGGTGGTTTGTGTGAAGCGAATGCAGCAAGGCCAGCTGGAGGAGGGTCACTGGGGGTTGGGGGAGTCAAATGCAGCGAGAGTGGATGAAGCTGAACCTCTCAAGTTCCTTAAAGAAAGGTTTTCTTAATACAGCACAGAGGACGGTTGGCACTGGCTGGCAGAGATGCTGCAAAAGGTAGTGTGGTCAGACAAAGAGAGTGGGGCAATCCCAGGGCTTTTCTGAGCATCAGAGATAACTGCTCACCAAGAACTTCTGGGCGTCAGAGCTGGAGGGGAAGCACTGAAAGTCCCCAAGGCAGGAGAGGAGGCCCATGAGGTCCTTTGTAGAGGATTAGGCAAGGGGGTGCAGCAAGGAAGAAGGCTGTGCTGCTTTCCACAAGCAGTGGAAAAAATTCTTTTGTCTCCATAAAGCCCTGCTTTAACCCCCAGTTTTGAGAAAGAATTTGGAATCCAAAAAACTTACAAGTTTGCTTATTTATTTTAAGTGTGTTTAAGTGCTTGGCCACTGAGTACCGTCTTTTTAAAGGTGAGTAGTCTGCGGTTTGATGTGTGTTACTTCAGAGATCTGCCTCTGAGCAGAAAGTGGCATGTCAGCAGAAAAGTATTTCCAAATGTCTGGATTAAAATCCAGATGTGTTGCTCACACTTAAAAGTGCTCAGTGTAAATGCAAGTAATAATTAACCGAACAAAACCTCTCTTGGTTTTCTTACTATCAGACATTCCGTCCTGCTGCAATGTTGATAGAAAGATCGTCTGATTTTGGAAAAACATGGCAAGTATATAGATATTTTGCATACGACTGTGAGAGCTCATTTCCTGGGATTTCAACTGGACCCATGAAAAAAGTGGATGATATCATTTGTGATTCCCGATACTCCGACATTGAACCTTCAACTGAGGGAGAGGTCAGAGGGTTTTTTTTATTCCCCAATATGTTTATTGTATAGACTTTTTCCATGCAAATTCAGATTCTCTTATTTTCAAAGCTGAGTCTTTTGTTGTACCATTTTTCCTCCAGGTAATATATCGTGTTTTAGATCCTGCTTTTCGAATTGAAGATCCATACAGTCCACGGATCCAAAGTATGTATGCGGTTACCTTCCAGGCTCATTTGAAAGCATCTCTGTGCTTATTCGCTTACTAATCAAAAACCAATAAGTCACCCAATAATAGTTTTGAAGTCTTATGAATATATTTGTGGTGACATGCTGGGAAATAATGATCAGTGTTGTCAAATCAAGTGATTGCTCTTATACGTGCAATTATAGTTGATTCTTTTCTTAATTGATCAGGGAATCATTTTCATTAAAGATCCCCCTTCCCAAAATACACACAGTTGTTGATTTAAACTTTGGAACATGATCCCATAATTGTGCAGTGTTCAGAAAGCAAAGAAACAGAACGAAAAGGTACTTATATCATTTTGCATTTTTAGCTAAAATCAAGGGGGCTGCGTTTTATTTTTTAGAACACCTGAGTCATTTCTTTAGAACGGTTGGCCTTGGTAGCGCTGCGTGGCTGGACCACACGGATGTGGTCATAAACCACAAATGACCATAGCATTCGTGCACAGTCATGACAATCCAGGAACGCAAAAGTAAAGAGGTCTGTGCTGTAATGTGCCTCAAAGAGAAACCTCATGGGGCGTTTGGCCCGAGTAGGGAACTGCAGTGCTTGGCCTTAAACTTGACCTCCAATTTAATATTCTTTCTCGGTTTCGGTTCATGTCCTTCAGTGTAAAGCTAACTGGAGCACAAGAAAATACCTGAAGTAGAAGTGTCTGCTAGTTGCTATATCGGTTGAATGTTTTTTAACCAAAGTTTTAAAGGGAAACTATGAGAGATACTGTGCTTTCATGGGCTTGAAGTACCTTTTCAAGCCTAGTTTGAAGGCTATTAGAAATTACACAGGATTCATAATATCAAAGTGAGCATGTAGACTGAATTGATTACTGCAATATTGTCTTCCCATGGTTTATATCCCTTGAAAACTTCTCCTTTTTATTTGGTCAGTGATGGGATGTGGCTTCTTTCTGCAAAATGTAACTAATTATATTTGCTGGGAAAGCTGGGCATGTAAGAAAGAAGAGTATATTCCTGTATTGTTTTCAGCAAAGATTTTTATTTCCCCAAAAGGCTAATAACTTAAAGCTCCTGGTCTGCTTGTAAGCAGTTCCTTGATATCAGATCCTTGCCCATCTTACATTTTAAAACCCCAAAGAAGCAATGTTTCCTTGCTGGTACTGTTGCATGTGCCTTTAATAGGTGTGTTGGTGCCTGTGTATGCCTACAATAAAATAGACTAGTGTTTTTAATTAAGCTTAAACTAACTTATACAGTGATCAACCTGTAGTAAAATTATGTGATTTTTTTTTTAAATTTGGAAGTATGAAGTGATGTGATGTGATGTGTAAGATAGTACGTAAGTGCTGAAATTCAATCTGATCATAATATGCCCATAGGAAGTGTGCTTGGGAAGTCACTCCTGGCTTCCTCCCATTCAATACAATATCTGGTAAGTCATTCCAAAACAGAGGGTTTTTTTGTTGTCCCCTGCAGACCTATTAAAGATCACGAATCTGAGAGTCAAATTCATCAAGCTGCACACGCTGGGAGATAATCTCTTGGACTCGAGGATGGAGATCAGAGAGAAGTACTACTATGCCATCTACGACATGGTGGTTCGTGGGAACTGTTTCTGCTATGGACACGCCAGTGAGTGTGCGCCAGTGGATGGTTTTAATGAAGAAGTGGAAGGAATGGTAAATATTCACATGTTGCTGCATAAAGGTGTTCCTGACTCTGCCTCTTTTAAGTGATTTAAACGCAAATTTAAAGATGACACTCTGCCCCCCCCCCTTAATTTTCAAACAAGAAAACAATTAAAACTATTCCTTCTCAGCAAACACTATGTCATTATTAGTGTTAATCAAGCACAGAGAGCGCAGATTAGCTGAAAATTGCTTTAGCATTCCTTTTCTAATTATGTTAAAGAAATTAAAATGTTGAAATTAAAAGGCAGAAATGTAGAAAGGGAGTGTAACCGTATGGGGGCCAGAGATGGGTGTGTGGGTCGACTTGGTTACCCGAAAATTGAAGTGAATAGAGGCATCAAAGCATGAAACACCTTCATTAATCAAACATGACCTGTGTTTGTATCAGTCGTTATCAGCTGAGAAGTGGAGGCTGTAGCCCCAATTAACAGCAGGCTTCGAAGGAAAATCCTGCTGCCTGCCTTGTACACTGCTGCGTGATTGCCACATCCCTTCTGGGTTCTGGTTTTCTCCATGATTTTTTCCCGACAAGCAGTAATAGCACGCCTGTTAATGAGTGAGTTATTAACTGGATGAAAATGTGGAGGCATACGGGGAGGTTGTGTGGATTGCCCCGGGGGCCACGGGATGCCGGCAAGCAGGTATGCTCCATCGCCCTGCGCTTTCGGTGAGTGTCAGCAGCAGCGAGACTGGCTTTGCCTTTAAAATCTTGGCTCCAGTGCTGGTAGTCCTGTCGTCTGTGGCAGCAGCTGTCACACAATCGCTGTTGGTCTACTTGGTGCTTGTTCTGTACATGTTGAAGGCAAAGTCTGGGGTTGATGGATAAAAGCCATCCAAACTGTTATCTTTGCTTTGAGAACCAAGGTAGGGCTGGAAAGAAGGCACTGGGCTAGTGCAGTGCTGATATAACTAGATGCATGTTAATAGCTAATTAACAGCCAATAAACAGCTAACTTTTAGGTCCAAGAGGTTTTTGTGATCATTGAGGTGGAACTGTGCTCTCCTTGTTCATGTCTGAATGCGTTTATTCAGGCATTAGTGCTGGTAAGGAAAGGACAGATTTGTATGAGGACATTCTTACCTTGGCAGGTGAAGGACGCTCCTTTATGTCTTCCTATGTACAGTTACATACATTAAAGTCTCCAAAAGTATATCCATTATGTACTAGCTATATTTTGCAGTAATTGGAGCATGTTTGTCTTTTTTTCTTTCCTCTTTTATAACCAACTATATTGCTGGTTTGGGGTTTTTTTTTCCCTTTTTAATGACAGGTCCATGGGCACTGCATGTGCAGACATAATACCAAAGGGTTAAACTGTGAGCAGTGTTTGGATTTCTACCATGACTTACCCTGGCGACCCGCTGAAGGCCGCAATAGTAACGCATGCAAAAGTGAGTTTCAGTAAAATGCAGACCTGGAGTCTGGTGTGAGCATTACATGCTGTTACTTGGGAACTTGTGACAGTATATAAAGTCCCACATGTTCTTTGGTTGACTTTGGTGTGTCTTTTCTGCAGGCTTGTGTCTCCCCTGGGACCAGACTCTTACTTTGCTTTCTATCTTTGTCACAGAGTGCAACTGCAATGGCCACTCCAGCCAGTGCCACTTTGACATGGCTGTGTACATGACGACGGGGAATACCAGCGGGGGAGTGTGTGACGACTGCCAGCACAACACTGTAGGACGCAACTGCGAGCAGTGCAAGCCATTCTACTTCCAGCACCCAGAGAGAGATCTGCGGGACCCCGACGTCTGTGAGCGTACGTGCAGTCCTGCTCCTCAGGGTGGGAATGGCTGTGGCATCCCGACTGTGGCCCCCCCAGGGCTTTCCCTGGAGAATTTAGGATTTACTGCCCTTCTTTTGGCCAGTGCTGTGCTCCTGAACAAAGATCCTTGAGGGAAGGTGGTTGTCTTGGAGGTCTTGAGAGAGCCTGGCTGGGTTTTGTTTTCAAGAATCTGGAAATTTATCTAGTCATTACGTGTTCAACCCATGTCATGTCTAATACTTGCAGGAATGATACACTCTGTCTACACAGCAGCTGAGTTTAAATAATTCAGTGTGAGACTTGGCCTTTTCTTTTGTAGCAGTTAATAAAACATGTGTGATGCTTCCTTCTTAGCTTGCGACTGTGACCCAGCTGGCTCACAAAATGGTGGCATCTGCGATCGCTACACTGATTTCTCCACTGGCCTCATTGCCGGGCAGTGCCGTTGTAAATTATTTGTCGAAGGGGAGCGTTGTGACATCTGCAAAGAAGGTTTCTATGGCTTGAGTGCCGATGACCCAGTGGGTTGTCAGTGTGAGTAAAAACATACGTTCCTTTATGTGTGATCAAAAGCTCTTTGAGGAGCTGTTAGAGCTGGGAGAAGTTGGTTTGCGGGGTGGTTTTTTTGGCCTTTGTTTCATGTTTTTGCTAAAGGAAAAACATTCTTGTAGATTTGCCGTAGCTTGGAGTCCACCCGCCCTTAAAACTCGGTTCCCCAGCTGATCCTTCTAGTGTGTTCAGTGGAAATAGCAGAATCCTCCTTATTTCTTTTTAATTATAAGTTTTTAAGCCAAGGAAGTTTTACTGGGATGGGTTATGGGCAAAGTGTGCAATTACTCTCTATCCTGGGGAATTCAGGGGAAGCTTTAATGTAAATATTTAAGTTGGATAAGTCTAAAATGTAACTCCAATCCTGTGTCTTGACCTGCCTATTTGTATTTCCCAATCTAGCTTGTGCGTGTAATCCTCTGGGTACCCATCCCGGGGGCAATCCTTGTGATTCGGAGACAGGAAACTGCTATTGTAAGCGCCTGGTGACAGGAAGGCAGTGCGATCTCTGCCTGGTAAGTAGCTTACCGTAAAATAAATTAGGAGATGCTGGTGTGAGGGAGGCTAGGGTGCGGAAAGCGTGGAGTGAGGCGCTGGCCGTGGACGCCTGGCATTCAGGCTGGAGGGGCACCTCGAGATTTTGGGAGCTGTGAAGCGGGCTGTGTTATGGGGAGCTGGGAGGCACGTCAAGGCAGAGAAGAGCATCCAGATTAATTTCCTGGACTGTAAAGAGTGAGACGTTAGGATACCAGTAGTGGTTGCTCTGTGAAAATGAGGCAGCTGGGGCAGTTCTGCGGGAGCTCTTGCTGGGGTGAAAGACAAAACAGTCAGAGAAGCAGCGTTACAAAAAAATTTGCTTTCTATACAGGCCATTATTTTAGGCAGGGATTATTTCATACGCATGCATTTCCATATAGTGTTTATGCGTGCTGGAGTGTTATAGAAACACACTGTCAGATAACTGGATGTGTTTGTATAAACACTGACAGGCTGTCTTATCTAACAGTGAACTACATGGAAAAGCTAAACAAGTCCGTCTGTCCAACAAGCAACTTGCAGAGTAGCAGCCCTGCAAAGGCAGTGCCCCACACAAAGCCCCACCGCCCCATGCACGGCTCTCTGCTGTGGTGTGATGTACTGGGCTGTCCAAGCCCTTCATGGGTCGGGATCCCAAACCGGTGTAAATAGTGCAGTAGGAGTGAGGTCTCTGAGCTTGGGTCCTCCTGAATCTTGCTTTTAAAGCTAGACAGAAAGATGTGCTTTTTTTCTCAAGCCCTTGAGATGATCAACAAGGTGGAGGAGAGCAGGTGGGGAGGTTGTGTTGGTGGTTGTGGGGGTAGACCCACAACCAGGGGGAGCAGGATTCATGGGTTGGAGTTGCTTACTCATGAAGGATTCATGGGTTGGAGTTGCTTATGACGAGTATTTCAAAATGTGCCTTTGGGGTAGATCGTTAAGATGTTAGATCGTTAAGATGAGTTAAATCGGCACCAGGTTATAGGGCTGGTGATGTTTCCTCCCACAGCCTGAGCACTGGGGCCTGAGCAATGACATGGATGGATGTCGGGCGTGCGACTGTGACCAGGGAGGAGCGCTGAACAACAAGTGAGTCTCAGCCCAGTTACTCGTCTGTAATCATTCATCCCAGTGAGTTTCACTTTGATTGCAACCACAACATCCAGGGTTCAATGTGCTCTGGAGGAGGATGTTTGGGACCGTCTTTCTGCTCCAAAAAGTGGCAGGTCTTGGTTGCAGCAAGGGGTGACAGAGGCATCCATGTCTTTTCCATGCTGAGCAGCCTCTGTTTGTGCCACTGGTGCAGATGAATATGTAAAACTGTTTTTAGTGTAGCTCTGCCTTTGGTAGGAGCCAGCTGTAGGTTGAGCTCTGCCTTGGCTGTACCCTGGGGTATGGCCCGTGTCAAAGCTTTGCTCTCACAGGATCAAAGCAGGAATCAGATGGTGACATGGGCTGTCAGGCTGGTTCTTGGCTTGCTCCCAAACTGGCCCTTTGGCCAGTCTGTCTGTCTGTCCAGCAGCGCTGGAGGAAGCGCGCTAGCTGCACGGTACTGCTGCGTTGCCTAGTGGTGCTGTGTAGAGTGGGATGTGGACCTCGAAGTGCCGGCTGGGGAGATGAAAATTTTTCAGAGAAAAGTGCAGGTTTTGAAGATGCATCTGTCAGTAAGAGCACAGAAAGTCCTGGCTTCAGTGCCTGGTCAGAGGGGTGCTGGGCAGCCAGGCTGCTTCTCTGACCAGAGCAGTTTTCTGTGTGTTCGGTGCATGTCCAACCCCAGGCTTTTCAACAGCAACACGTTCCTTTGCTCTTTTTTTTCCCCCTTCCCTCCATAAACCCTTTCAAATGTCCTGCTTTTGTCTAAAGCCACAAAAGTTTCCCAAGGAGGTGGATGAACTGTTTCCTACTGGAGCCTGTGGGATTACACTGAGGGAGTTTAGGACTGATCCTGGTATCACTCCTGTAGGTTGTCGCAGCCTGCGGACACCCCATCTGTGACAGGGATCGCCATGGGAATGTCCTGCGGGCCATCTCTCCCTTCCGCTCCTGAGTGAATTATTACCCCTTGGCAGACAGCGGTGTGGTTGTTAGTGATGATTTACTCCTCTGTGCTTGCTCCCTGCACGCAGATCGGATACGCCGCACAGCTCATAGTAGCTCCCCCAGCGCAGCTGCTTCCAGGGTTTGGGGTACGGCTCAGCTGCTTCCAGAGGTTTGGGGTACGGCTCAGCCCGGCCCAGCAAGGCTTTGCAGCCTGTTTCCCATGCACTGAGCCCGGCGATTGCAAAACCACGTAGGGAGGGTACATGCGGTGTCCTGGGGCGGGCAGGGAGCAGCTGCGCTTTCCTCCGGGGAGAGTTGCGAAGCCCGGCTCCGGCTCCCGGCTTCGCTCTCCAGCGTCAGTGGGAAGAGGGAGCTTCGCCCTCCCTGGGGCTCCTCAGCTGCTGAATTACCGCCTCCTGGCTCCTGTTCAGGGTGTGGGATGCAGCACCTGGGGCAGCCGCACCTCACCCAAAATTCGTCCCCGCGCTGTAACCCAGATGGTGGAGTCATTACCATCCCCAGAGGGGAAACTTCTCAGCTCCTCTTCTGGGGCAGCTAGGGCAATACTGGCTTTTCAAAGTGAACGTTTAAGTGAATCTCTGCAATTTTAAAAATGGTTTCAGTTAAAGATTACTCTTAGAATGGGGGCTTGAGAAGCCTGGAGATTTTCTATGGAAACCAGAGGGGTTTAACTTTAGAAAACATTTCTAAATTCCACTCACATTGAACGAAAGGGGCATATTTTGGTGGACCAGAAAACCTTCCTGTGAAAAAGTATGACTGGGCGCATGCAAAAATACAACCTGCCCAAAGGTTCTTCATAATATGGGGCAGACTCTGGGGACAATAAAGCCACCAAAAGACAGTTTGGGGATACAGCTGTGTTGAGAAAAGAAAAAAGCTCGTTATGAAGGAAGTGGAGCTGCTGTATGTCACCCTGGACAGACCCTCTGCATTCCCCAGCGATGGCTGTGTCTGTCCCATGCCTTTGGCTGTGTCCATCCTACTTTAACGCAGCCAGGTACGGTTTTTCCCTGCGTATAGCTGCTGGTGGGCGACCTCTCAGGACGTGCTTTGCAGCATATGAGAGCAGCTCAACATCCCAGGGCATGCAGGATTGTGCATGTTCTTGCTTTGCCCGAGCCCATACAAAAAGATAAGCTGCTTGCATGGCCTGCAAGCTGGGAGCCAAAGGCTGCCCTGGGCTTGCAGGACAGACATGCCTCTTGGCTACGTCTGTGGTAGCAAGAAAAGCTCTCCCAGGACTGCTGTCTGCCCCCAGGGAACCGCCTGCATCTGTAACGTGAAATCCTCTCACCATCCAAACAGGGGAAACCGCAAGCAAACTGCCTACTGGAAATGGTCCCTGGCCCGTGCTCACTCCCAGCCTGAGCCTAGGAGTTGTTTGGGAGAATGATATTTGGGTTGAGCCAAGACTGCGCCTGGGACCATGATGCCATTTTAGCAGTGCAGATGGTCCAGCCGCAGAGCCCGAGAACATCTTGTGTCTAGACGCAGCTGTGTCCAGAAGCGCTTCTCTTCCCATGTTGCTTGAAATGTCAAAGCAAAAGATAGCTCTGGCACCGTCTCGGTGTAGCCAAGATGTGTTGTAAATTCATTGCTCTTCCGTTTTAGCTGCTCGAGTCAATCTGGCCAATGCGAATGCCGGCCCCACATGTTTGGACGGCAGTGCAACCAGGTGGAGCCTGGCTATTACTTCATTTCGCTCGATCACTACATCTACGAGGCAGAAGAAGCCAGCTTGGGTCCCGTGAGTAGCAGTTTTAGTGGGCTGGTGTGTCTGGACAGCTGTGGGAAAGTTGCTTCACCATTTAGGTGTTGGAAGCAACTGTTTTTTACCTTGAGTGTTTTGCAGTTAAAACGTGGAAAACACAAAACTGAATTGTGTCAGAAAACCGTCAACTTCTCTTCAACCTTAGTATCAATACACAATGTAGTAATTTAGGGGGGGGAAACTGTCCTTTTTCTTTTTAAACCTGTTTCTTTGATCATGACTGTACAGTTAGTTTCCTGTCAGCATCTCTCCCTACACCCTACTACGTACATGCCCATCGCACCCACTTGTCCTTCCCCTCTTATCTCAAGAGCGGTGGGACACCGATACTGGCTCTTCTCTGGAAGAAACCTGGAGGGAACAAAGCAGGCATTTAAGCACATTGCCACAGCTTTTAGACTTTCTGTACATCAGCAGCATTTCTTTTATTAATGAGTAAAACCATAGTTGATTGTGCAAAAACCTGGTTTTGTAAAAGTGAGGTTGCTTCTAGCTTGTTTTGCCCGCTGGCATTGGCACATCAGGGTCTCTGGCTCTTTCCATTCACCGCCACATACACAGCCTTCCTTTTAATTGATTAACAGCAGCTAGGTGATTACATCAATTATTTTTGCCTCCAGCAAGAAGTCAGGGAGATGAGATAATGGTTTCTCTAAAGCAGCAGATCCTTGCCTGCCTGCAAGTGGGGCTCTTAGTCCTAATTTATTTATTTGAGGCAAAATGCAGCTACTTTGCAGTTTCAGCCGAGGCAGAGGATTTTTGGTCTTAGATAATTGCAGAGAGGGGAAGGCAGTGCAGAGCAGAGGTTGGACTGCAACGGGTGGCACGTGAGCTGGCACAGGGGTTTTGGTGCGTTTGTGTCTGCCCCGCTGGAGAGGTGGCACCCGAGGCCGCCTGGGATGGAGGAGCCCTGCGTGAAAACCCACCTTGCCAAGCAGAGTGAGGGGATGTGCCGCCAGTTTGCCTTTTGAAACCTTCAGAACAAACCATTTTAAAAACTGCCAAAATTGAAAAGCTTTTGCACAAATCTGGTGGCAGAATAAAACTGAATTCCCCGACAGGGGCCCAGCACAAGACAAAATGAAGTGATGCAGGGATGTTCAAGCGTTGCCAAGCCCCCACGCTCCCCACAGCTGCGCTCCCCCACTGATGTCCCACCTGCCGTCCTTTCTGGGGAGGTCCCACCCTTTATGCAAAGCCGAAGGGTAATAACTTATAGCCAGGCTCTCTTCAAAGGGTGTGAGAATATGTGAGGGGACATCCTGAAGTGATAGGTATATATATAGACATTTCCTTACATTCTATCCCTTTCTACTGAAGCAGCTTCCTTAGGAATGCACAGGATGTTGTTCTATGGTGAGAACTATTTGTGGATGCAGATGTATTTGAAATGGGAAGTTTGAACACCACACGTTTCCATTTTCTGTTGCCTTTTCGTCGTCTTTGCTTTATATAAAGAGGAGCAGATAAAAACCTGGCACCTCAGACGGAAAGGAGTGACCACATATTGATTTGGCAGTTAAATATCTGTCAATGATTAGGATCTCTTTTATTTTGTTACAATTTACTCATGACGGCCGTGATCTGCTTTTCAAATGTTATCCAGAGTAGTGGTTTGGTTTGGAGCAGGCTGGTGTAGTCAGGAAGTAATTAGCACTCAGCTTGGCCAGTTAATAGAGCAGTTCTGTGTCACTGCAGTAAATCCTACTGCTGCAGGTATGATGTGAAAGTCTTACAGTGCATGAGATGTTGTAGCTGGTGGATTAGCAAGTTTTTAAATTTAATTCTTCACTATAGCAGAGAAATGGATGAAGAGTTGTGCAGTGTTGTTTTATGTTATTTTTCTTGCTTTTTGTATGTTGTTAAGCGGGAGGGCAATGGTGTGCATGCACATGGGTTTAAAAGATAATTCGTGTTCTCTGGGATGCAAACGATGGACGCTGTGATCCAGAAGTGATCTGTCAGCAGAACTCATCACTTCACACACTCCCACGGGGCTTGCAAATTTGATGTATTGGTATTAAAATCTCTCTTCCCTGTTTTTGTAGGGAGTAAACATAATAGAGCGCCAGTACACACCGGACCGCACACCGTCGTGGACAGGAATAGGATTTGTAAGGGTCCCTGAGGGGGCATACCTGGAATTCTACATCGACAACATCCCTTACTCCATGGAGTATGATATTGTGATTCGCTATGAGCCACAGGTAGGTCTGTGAGTACAGGCATTGCTGCCTCCTGGCAGGCACTGGCTGTCACGGTGCACAACTGACAGGAGCCCGGCGCTTCCAGGAGTCATCAGGACTCAAAGACAAGGATGGACACTCAGTTAAATGCCTGAGATGTGTGAAAATCCAAGTGTGGATTATTACTATTACTAGTGTTATTTGTGACTATTACTAGTATTATTTGCTTTACAGTTTCATTCATTATTGCATTGTTTCAGCACCTGTTTAATGAGCAGATTAAAAAGTGACAAGTCCCGTCAGGACAGATTTTAGAATATGAATTTGGCTTCAGCCAGATGGCCTTTTAATGGGTGGAAATACTGTTATGTACCTTAGGAGACAAACTGCCCGTCTCGGATGTTGAATGCCTGCAGCCAAGAGTTTGCAAGCAGTCGGTTTTGACTGTAGGTAGTTTGCAGGGTGAAGGAAAAGAGGAAAATCCTCCCCAGCTCCTTACATAGAGCTTGGCAGGAACTGACTGCAGTGAAATACTCGGATGTGGTACCCAGAGGTCACCAAACCCCCCGTTGATGCCGTGCCACAGATGGGGCTGCTGACCACCTACACCTACTGATGTTTTTTTGGGAGGGAAGTTGTCCTGCTGGAGGATGCCCAGTGGCACATGCCTTGTCTTGTCTCAGCCCAAACCTGCAGCCGGTAGATGCCCCATTGATGCTGGAGCTGCTGCCCCATCCTCCCCAAAGCATGGTGACCACCTCGTCTGTGCACACGCTTTTCCTGCCCTGAGCTCTTGATGCTGATCAGCCTTTTTTTCCTCCCCCAGTTGCCGGATCAGTGGGAAAAAGCTGTGATCAGTGTCTCGCGCCCAGGCAAGATTCCCACGGGTAGCCGGTGTGGCAATACAGTTCCTGATGATGATAATCAGGTCATCTCGCTGTCACCTGGCTCGAGGTTGGTATAATCAGATGGCCAAAAGGAGAAAAAACATTTGAAAATTGAAACAGAGTAATGTCATGTTCAGTTTGCCGTGGCCTCTATGAAAATAGATGAAATTCAATTTCCAGTGGATTATAAAAACATATTTAGCATTGTGTCTGTAGACTCAAAGCTTTTAAGTTTATTCTCGTTTTCTGATTTGTTTTGTTCACTGAGTACAGTGGGGGGGAAGTGTTTGCACAGCCTGTGAATGAACATCAGTATGACTCTTTACCTTGCCGATAAGCTTTTCCGGTTCTGACTTGCACAAGCCTCCAAACCGCCTCTTTCACATCGTAGCTTTTGTTGTGCCCGGTCTTGGCTGCTTTCCGTTATCTCGATTGCTTTACGGGGCCACCTGAAACACTTTATGGTGCTGGACGTTTGAAGTAAGAATTATTTCCTTTGCCTAATACAGATACGTTGTTCTCCCGCGGCCTGTCTGCTTTGAGAAGGGGCTGAATTACACCATCCGCCTGGAGCTGCCCCAGTACTCCTCGGTGGATACAGAGACGGAGAGCCCGTACACGCTCATTGACTCTGTGAGCAGAAATTGTTTCAGGGATGCTCTGGGCTAAAAGTGTATTTAAAAGCCTGAAAGTTTGCATCTCCTCTGGCATGCGTCTGTGTAATCCAAAGTAATATTTTACAACGTTGTTGCTTTCGGCTGAAGCCAGATTTTAGCTGAACAATGTAAAGCAGCGTAGGTTTCTTCAGTCTCAAAGTATATGGGTTATTTTTCTGCTAAGAGGTTTTTGTTGTGTTTTACAGGACTGCAGCTAGTTCCACAGACCCGTAGGTTCTTTGGGGAGGCTCATGTGTGCCATGTATCTCATGAATGTCAACATCAACTTTTTTCTTTTGAATTGATAGAATGTGGTAGATGTGGTAAGAATTTGGTAGATACCAGAACTATTCCACCAAAAACTAGAGAAATACCTTCATTTCCTTTCCAAATTCTGTCTGGCTGTTTGCTTTTTGGCCAAAAAAGGATGATAAGAAGTGGGATAATACTGAATTTTCGCAATTTTGGTGGAGGCTATTTATAAATAGTGACACTTAGTCATTGTAAAATTGTTTTGTAGCTTGTTCTCATGCCATACTGCAAATCGCTGGACATATTCACAGTGGGAGGCTCAGGCGAAGACGTGATCACAAACAGTGCTTGGGAAACTTTCCAAAGATACCGGTGTCTGGAAAACAGCAGGAGTGTTGTGAAAACCCCCATGACAGACGTCTGCAAGAACATCATATTCAGCATTTCTGCGCTGTTACACGAGACTGCGTTATGTACGTAACCATCTACTTGTAGGGCAAACTGTGCCTGGAAGCTGGATGGCGCTTGCAGGCAGAGCAGTTTGCACGGGGAAGGCATATGCATGGGATGAAGCAGGTGGTTCATGTCCTGCGCCATGGTACTCACTCCCTTTGATGCTTTTCTCCGCTCAGCATGCCAGTGTGACCCCCAGGGCTCCCTGAGTTCAGTGTGCGACCCCAGCGGAGGACAGTGCCAGTGTCGTCCCAACGTTGTTGGAAGACAGTGCGACAGATGTGCCCCTGGCACCTTTGGGTTCGGGCCGAGCGGATGCCGACGTACGTTAAGCCCATGGCTCTTGGGTGTGCTGCGGTCGGGGCCCTGCGTTTAGGGCTTGCTGTGGAAACGCATCCCCTCTTCCCCTCTCCTTGCAGCGTGTGAGTGTCACGTCCGAGGCTCTTACAACGCCTTCTGCGATGCGGAGACGGGCCAGTGCCACTGCTTCCCCGGGGTGTACGGGCGGCAGTGCGACCGCTGCCTGCCTGGCTTCTGGGGCTTCCCTAGCTGCCAGCCCTGCCACTGCAATGGCCACGCCGACGACTGCAGCCCCTACACCGGGGAGTGCCTGAGCTGCCGGGACCACACGGCAGGGCACAACTGCGAGAGGTATGGCGCACTCACCCCTCCCCGGCCCCTCTCCTTCCTCGCAGCAGGATGGGTGCAGCAGCTGCTCCCCTCTGGCGCTGGTAGGTGGGTGTGAAGTCACCAGGGAAAGGCTCTGGACCCTGGGAGTCAGAGCAGCGCTGGTGGTCCTGGAGGCGGATGGGAGCAGGGACCCCCTCTTGTCCCTTGCCCGCAGCCTTGTGCCTCCCAGCAGCACCTGCCCAGGTGAGCGAGAGCACCTTGCAGGACCCCAGGGCTTCAGAGAGGTTCTCTCCATTGGAAGCCCCCTGAGAGGCATCTGCCTTGGGTCTCTTGCTCTTACACTGGCGTAAGCTAAACAAAATTGCCTCTGTGGGCACAGCTGTTTGGAGCATGAGTGGCACGGGAGAGCCATAAGGAAGTTTCTGCCCTTCGGTTCTTCACAGTGGTTGAAACCCTGAGCGTAGTTACAGCAAGGCTGCAGTCAGTTTGCCTGCGGTCCCCTGCATGCCATGTACCCCATCACACAGGTGCCAGGCTGGCTACTATGGAGACCCTATCCTGGGATCAGGCGACCACTGCCGCCCCTGCCCTTGCCCTGATGGCCCCGAGAGCGGACGCCAGTTTGCCAGCAGCTGTTACCAGGACCCGGTCACACTGCAAGTCATGTGTGTCTGTAGCGTGGGATACATAGGTACTTGGTGGGTGTGTGGAGGGGGGCAGGTTGGGTTGAACCTGCTGGTGCCAAGGGGTACGTTCATACAGGTTGTTGGATGTGGCCATAGCACCAGCATCAATGTGTTGCTGCTGGAGGATGGCAGCACTTAGAAGGTGCCAGAGCAGAGCGGCTTGTGCAGGCAATGCTGACACCACCATGAACCTCATCCCCGGCAGCGTGGCGAGGGATGACTGGTGGTCGGCAGAGGTGGACAGGACAGCAGTGGAACCAAGGGGATGAGCGTGCTGGCAGTACCCCAGGCGGTACCATCCATGCTGCACCAAGCTGCTGCAGCTTCACCAAGCACTGCCTCTATTGCTTTGAGTGTGATCCAATTAACACCCCCCCATTAATGGCCTTTATTGTCTTGCTTCAGTCTTGCTGTTTACGGGGCTGCGCGCTAGCGAGCCGTGATGGTAATTCCCACTGTGCCTGTTTGTTCAAACAGGCAGTCGATGTGATGAATGTGCGTCTGGCTTCTTTGGGAGCCCCGACGAGGTTGGCGGCGCCTGCCAGCCCTGCCAGTGCAACAACAACATCGACACCACTGACCCAGAGGCCTGCGACAAGAAGACGGGAACGTGCGTGAAGTGCCTGTACCACACAGAGGGCGAAAACTGCCACCTCTGCAAAGAGGGCTACTATGGGAGTGCCCTGCAGCAGGACTGCAGAAGTGAGTGGGGAGACACGTCTGCAACCCCTCTGCAAGCCATGTCGTGGGGCACCAGCAGCCACCTGAACTCTTTCTAATTTACCCGGGAGCATTTGGGGTGGAGGGGAAGCCCCATGACCTCCAGCTAGACTTGTGTGCAGCTGCCCTGCAGCTCAGCTGGGAGGGGGGTCCTTTACATTTGACAGGGAGGGCAGGGACAGCATTTAATTGTGCTAAAAGGATGAGAGTTTTGCAGGATAGGGATTTCTTGCCCTCGTTAGCTGTCTTTGTTTACCTCTTCTCCAGAGATGAGGGTGGCGGGGTGAGGGTTTGACTTTTGTTTACATCAGCATCCATGCAGATGTGGCTGGACAGTGGGAGCAAGGGCCGTGGCGAGGAGCCGAGCCGTGCGGTGGGGAGGCAGACCCTTCTCTCCCTCGGCACCAGACGCAGCCTGACAGGGCAGACGGGTCACTGGGTGGGTGAGCGGAGCCCTGGTCTGCTTGGCACGCCATGGGCCGCTCCAAGCAGATCTGCTGCTGTAGCCGGCTGACAGGAATGGGGCAGGCTTAGGCTTTGGTTGTGTAAAGAGGGAGGAAAGGAGAAGAGGCGAAGGCTGGGCTGCTTGAACGAGGGGCTCCTGTTGCCTCCTGCGTGCTGGTGCAGAAGGTGTAGAGGTGGCCAGCCTGGGACATGAGGAGGGCTCTTGTGTGGTGCTCAATGTCATTCAGTGTTGGGTCAGCCAGGCCTGGCCACAGGCATTGGGACGTGTGGCATCTGCCCGTACCTCTGGGGACTCAGAATAAACTAAATGTGAACTCCGGGCAGTCTGGTAACAAGAGGACAGGCTGACA